TAAAACTTCTTTTTGTAACATGTTGGGGATAATAACCCTTGACCTCCATAGTACACATCCATCTTCTAGACTTAACTCTATTTTTCTTATTTTATATGGCCTTAAATCATCATTCACTGACTCTTCAGGCCAACCATTCTTACAGTACTCATATACTTTTATCAAGCACTCATCTTTTTGTGTTTCTCTCTTAACATCATTCACATTTATATTGGAGTTATCCATGATAGTGAAAAGAACAAATACATCTTCTGGTACATAACTAAGGCTTTGGTTTTTTAAAGGTAAACGACTAAGACTATCTGCACTATTCTCAGATCCAGGTTTGTATTTCAATTCATAATTGTATGCGGCTAGTGTGATAGCCCACCTTTGAACCCTTGGTGAGGCGTGCTCAGGCAGGGGTTTGTTTTCCCCAAACAAGCCCAGCAATGGCTTATGATCTGTAAAGATGGTGAACTCCCTACCAAACAGAAACTTGTGAAATTTCTTAACACCAAAAATGATGCCTAAGCCTTCCCTATCTAACTGAGAATAATTTTTCTCAGCCTGGTTCAAAGATCTACTGGCAAAAGCAATGGGTCTGTCACCATTTTCATCTATGTGGGATAAAACTGCTCCTACATCATCTGGTGAAGCATCACATGTTAAGATAAGTCTTTTCCCTGGATCATAGTGAGTTAGTAAGGTGTCAGAAGACAAAGCTTCTTTTGCTGTATTAAAAGCAGCATCTTGTTGTTTACCCCAGTGCCAAGTTGCATTTTTCTGCAGCAGCTTGTACAGTGGTGATAGTTTACCAGACAGATTCGCTATGAGCTTCGCATAGTAATTTATCAAGCCCAAAAAAGCTCTTAGCTGTTGGGTATTTTCAGGTTTCAGGGTGCTTCTTTATTTTTTAATGGCTTTTGTTTTCTCAGGTTGAGGTCTGAGACCCTGTCTGCTCAAATTATAACCCAGAAAACTAATATCTGTCAGCATGAATTGACATTTATCTTTGTTTATCTTTAAACCTTTTTCACCAACTATTTTCAAGACTTTATCAAGTGTTTTAAGATGTTCAGTGTCATTCAGTTATGTATACATTGTCAAAGTAAACACAAACATTTGGAATGTCCTGAATAATACTGTCCATGACAGCCTGGAAGATTCCAGGGCAAGATGATATACCAAAACATAGTCTTTCATATTGGTAGAGTCCCTTATGTGTGTTTATTGTCGTATAGACTTTTGAATCTGGATGAAGTTCTAGTTGAGTGTAAGCATGACTGAAGTCTAATTCAGTGAATTTGTCTCCTCCTGCCAAATTCAAAGCAATTTCCTCAATGTTAGGAATAGGGTACCTATTTAGCTCTATTTGCTTATTCAGTGTAGCTTTATAGTCTCCACAAATTCTTACAGAACCATCCTTCTTTAACACTGGCACAATGGGCGTTGCCCAATCGGAATAGTCTACCTTCTTTATGATGCCACTAGATTCCAATCTACTTAGCTCATTTTCAATTTTATCCCTCATTGCATAAGGTGGAACTCTAGCTTTGCAGTATCTTGGATTTGTGTCTTTAATGCTTATCTTCACTGTCCTATCATTTAGTAACCCTGAACTACCAAAGACACCTTCATTTTCAGATACAACTTTATCTATTGAAGTAAAACTAGATTCTCTTGCATTGTTCACTGAAAATATACTCCCCCAGTCTAACTTAAGATCAACTAACCAGTTCCTACCTAGTAATGGTGGTCCATTTCCTTCAACCACAAGAAGAGGAAGTTTAACACTTTGACCATTATAGCTTACATGAACCATGCACTCTCCTATCACCGGAACATTGTCACCCGTGTATGTTGTTAGGCACTTGTGACATAGTTCTAGAGGCACTGATCCTCCTGTGACAGCGTCAAAGTCCTTCTTTGTGATGACGGTTAGAGATGCTCCCGTGTCAAGTTGGAAGATGATGCTCTTACCGTTGATACAAACTGGTACATTGATGGGAGCATGACTTGTTGATTTCACAGAGAACAGGTTGAACTCCGGCTGTGGATCAGTTTGAGCATTTTCACTGGTAGAGTGGTTCATTGGTTGGGTTAGGCTGTCTTGGTGAGAGTTAACATAGTGCTGCCTTTGGTTGCGGTACTGTCTTGACTGGCTAGATCTAGCAACAGACGAAGACTTTGCAAAGCAGGCCTTGGCAATGTGACCTTGCCTACTGCACTTATAGCAAGTTGCTGACTTGAACTTGTATCGATGAGATGCATGGGGACCGTTGCATCGATGGCATTTTTGATAATTATTACTAGATTTAGATCTAGGATTTGAACTTGCAGGCTGTTTAGCATAAGTTGAACTGCTCTGATAGGGTTGGTGTTTGTTGACTAACCTGCTGTCTACTGCATGGATCCCTGAAGGCGCTAGAGATCTGGCCGCCTCGGATGACTGCTGGTATGAAGTTGCAAGTTGTATTGCTTTTTCCAATGTTAGATCTGACTCGAGAAGCAACTTTCTTTGAACATCAGGGCTGTTTACACCTGTCACAAACTTTTCACATAGTCTGTCAGACAGCGTGTCCCCGAATTCACAGAATTCACTTAGATGACGTAAAGCAGCAACATATTCTGATATTGATTCGTTTGGTTGACGAGACCTACCGTCAAATCTGGCTCTACACAGGAACTTGGGTGGTGCGGGCGCATGGTGGTCTGTTAGCAGTTTGCTCAGCTCGTTAAAGCTCTTGGTAGCTAGACTAGCTGGTGCGCATAAGTCCTTTAATAACCTAAATTGTTGAGGCCCTAAGACTGTCAACAAAACAGCTCTCTTTTTGGCTTCTATCGTCACGTCGTTAGCTTCAAGGTAAAAGCTTAACCTATCTAGATAATCATGAATGGTTTCTTCATTCGAATTACATTCTTTTATCTGGCCATACAGCGCCATTATCTTGCAAATACTTAGCCAATATGCTCTAGCAAGCTTCTTTTTAAGTAAGCATGTGCTCTTTTTAGTGGATGATTTATCCTCGTCGCCAATGTAATAGATTGTGGTTTTATTATAACACAATAGACGATGAAGCCATGTTTTATGCGCACCTTGTGTTTATTCTCAATCAACAACCGGAAGACACATGACATGCAAGGGACATCACCCAAAAACATTATAAATATAAGACTAATACAAGAAGAGTGAGTTCCCTTGAATTCACAAAGCTCAATATATTACATATATATATATATATATATATATATATATATATATATATATATATATATATATATATATATATATATATATATATATATATATATATATATATATATATAACAACCAAAAACAATAAACGCAGCACAATCTGTTTTGTATGTAATTCTTGTAAAAAAAAATTTACATAATAATTCCTGGGTCATTAATTAAGACAAGCGAAATAGGGGAAATAATCACGCTCTTGATATTAATATGTATATATCTATATATTTAATTATAGGGCCTAAATGTCAAAACAAATCAGTAATTACTTAAGAATGTACTATAATTGTTTAACAGTATTCGTGTTTTCAAATATTTTTTTTGTCTACACTCAAAATTAAATACATCGTCATCATAAATGCTAAAGTGTTAGAGCAGGGGTCTCCAAACTTTTCAGCCCGAGGGCCGCATTAACTATAAAATATCAGTCCGGGGGCCAGAGTTTCTTCTATTAATTTTTTCGAGTTGGCGAATCTCAACCCCCCCCCCCCCCACACACACACATCGATTTATAATTTATATAGAAATATATACAAATTTCTGAAAGAAACACTGTCGGGGGCCGACAACACACTCGAGGTCCAAGTTTGTTCTCAAATTGTTGTTCACGTATTTCATTCTTGAAAATGTTCCGAAATTTGAAAGGTACTTTGATGCAAAAGTTTTAATATTAGAAAAGTCTTCCTTTGGCAAAAACGTATTAAAAAACATTGTAAAAACCAACCCGCCCTTCTTTGAACTTGTCTCAATTCAATGACCTCCAGCTGCAGTTCATCTAGGAAACATGCCACATTTGCTTCAAATGGGTTTTGAAACAGTCTCACTTCTTCTGCCTTTAAATCCAAGTCAGAAAACCACTACTGAAACTGCAACTAGAGGTCCTTGATGATCTCGCATGCAAATGACTCACCTGTTGCTTTAGCCATGAAGACCTTGCACTGCTGAAAGTGCGTCAAGTTTTGGACCGTATTTGTTTAAAAAACAAGACCCGTTTGGATCTGAAGGCCTTTATGTGGGTGTATAGAACAGAAACTAGATTTTACTTTCCTTGTAGTTTTAGTTTTAGAAAATTTAAATGACTAGTTATGACTGCAGCAAAGGTCAATTTCCATACCCATTTATCAGACATTAATGGCTGTAGCTTGCCTTAACTTTCCAGTAAGTCACCTATTTCCTTGATTAACTTAAATACTCTGCTCAGAACTTTAAGCCACAATTTAGCCATCTTATCGTTGAATAATATGGTAAATGCTGCGTTTTTTCCCTCCATCAACATTCAGCTACGGTTAGTCCAGTCCAAGTTATAATCATCATTTTTTAAAACTCATTGAATATATCCTCTTAAGGTAAAAGCGGTATACATGCTATGTAGGAAAGCCAGCTCTTCTTCAAATCGTTTTGAATTTTCTTGGCAAAGTTCCTCAGCCACCTAACAAAAATCTTTTCCGTGGACAAAAAGATCTCCGCGGGCCGGATGAGAGGACCTCGCGGGCCGAATCCGGCCCGCGGGCCGTAGTTTGGAGACCCCTGTGTTAGAGCATAATGAAAGTTTTTAAAATCAGAGTTAGTATAAAAAACGCTTTAAATGTTACAGAATAACATCCGGAATAATAGTTTACATTTAACTAAACTAAAATTTGTAATGTATATTTTTCCTTTACCAATTTAATAACTAACTAGATCTAGATCTAGTTTTATTATCAACCTGTTGTTTTTTGTTATTTTCCGGTGAGTAAATAACCTAAGTTGACACACCCCTTAAAAAATGTGTTCACACACGTTCACGACGTCCTGTCATGCTGGGGCAAAAACGTGCTTTTGCCTTTCATTTTCCATTCTAAGATAATTTTAAAATTCTCTCTTTTCTCGGCCACTGAGTAAGCTAGATATTTAAATGTGGTGTCAAATGTTCTCTTATGGGGTAAGGAACTTAATAGTGTATTTGAAATAACAGAATATTTTATTTTTAAAAATCCATAATTATTAGGCCTAATTAAACCTTAAAGATATAGGCCTAGGCCTACATTAATATACAACAAGACAGTCAGTCATATTTAAATACATTTTCATACGAATAGAAATTAAAGGGAAGCTACTCTAAATAACATTTTCTTAAGATGGAAGCTGTTTTTAATAGCAAATTTGCGATCTCGAACAGGGTTGATACATATTAATTTCAGGATATTTAAATTGATTTAACCATCAATCTCAATGGTGATCTATTAATCCTATTATTCAATTATCTATAATATTTTATTAAAATATACGAAAATAAACTCATATTTAAAGAAATATACATTAATTCACTCTCTCCCCCATGGCCATGCATAGGGAGGGTACTACTAGTAACTAGATCTAGATCTTAGTACTAGTTTTGACCGAATTTATTTACGAAGTAAGATTTTACCCACCTTTTTTCACATTACTATTCTCAGCGGATTTTACGTACCAAAATTCTTTGGTAATCTTTAGGTTTAAGAAAATTTATGTCAAAAGTCTACAGAGCAAAGTTCAGTAGTAATGAATAGATCTAAATCAACACTACACACACTTCAACTTAACATTTAGATTAGATCTAGATTCTAACTACTAGATCTAGATCTAGATCTAGATCCATATCTCTAGATCTAGATCTAGATTTAGGGTAATCTATCGTTTTAGGTACGTAAAATCGCCCGCGACTAGTAATGTGAAAAGCAGGTGACTCCTTAAATTTTAATAATTATTTCACATTTTGAGGAGGATTAATGTTTTGAAAAATACAAAAATGTTTCCTTCTTTCATTTATGTGCCTGATTTTTTTAAAATTGAATTAAAACTTTACAATAATAAATGAAGACTAGCGATGTTTCCAACAGATGCAACCATGCTCATTTACTATAGCAGCCATCTTGTTTATTTTTTTTTTATTGTAAATAGCGCAAGATTCAGGGAAAGCCACTCTAACTTACAGATGGTCGCTTTTTATATAGCAAATCCTGCTCGCAAACACTGCTGTTTAAAGTTAATTTCTTGCCTATATTTACATATTTAGCTATTGATTTAGGTTTATTATTCATTTATCTATAATATTTGACACAAATATATCACAATATACTTCTATTAAAGCCTTGACAATGAGGTAACTTTTTCGTACATTACTAGCCGCGGGCGATTTTACGTACCCAAAACGATAGATTACCAGATTTAGATCTAGATCTAACTAGACTAGTTAGATAACTAGTCTAGTTAGATAACTGTGGGTTTCGGGGGTAATCCATAAATGACATCACGTCTGTCAGCACTTATCATCCCAAAATAACCAGACCCCACATTCAAAAAGACGTTTTTTATATTTTAAAAACTCTACTAAACTCTACTTCACCTGCCCAGTGTCCCACCAAGTCTCAGACATGTTTGATTTAAAAAAAAAAGATTCCGGCCGAGCATGGCTCTGACCACACTATCCCTTCATATGCTGAGAACATAGAAACAGGTGAACTCTACTTCACCTCTGTGCCCCGCGAGGTCCTGATAGTCAACCTTATCATTCACATGTAGATCTAGGCGTTAAGAAAAAAATAATTCAAAACATTGTTGTAAAAAAAAAAACCACCTTTTACTATTACTAAATTTATTGTTCTAAACTTTTATAATTAATGTGTTTAATCTACCAATGAATATATCAATAAATTAATTAACGGCTTTAAATTAGTTTGTAATAAACAGTGTGTTTAAGAAAGAACAATATTTACCACCCAAAACCTATTTTACAGCTCTACACATAATGCAGATTCTCCCCAATAACAGATAAAAAAAAAAAGGAGTTATCAAGCGTCACTATTCAGTCAAAGTTTAGCCATTGTTCTAAAACTTTAAAATTAATGTGGTTAATCTTCCTATGAATAAATCAATAAATTAATTAACTTCTTTAAATAAATGTGTGATTAACAGTCTGTCTGCAATCAAAAATTATTCTCTACCTACATACTATTTTACAGCCCCCCATATAGAGCAGTTTCCTTACAGTACCAAATCAGACAAACAAACAAATATTGAAACATGTAAACAAACTTGAGTTTTAGTAGTATATAGATAGATAACTACACTAGAGACTAGACCTCTGACTACTCAGAGAGTTAGGCCTAACCAGTAGGCAAACGTCTTACATTGACTTACATCAGTGATTCAGTACATCTTATTCTTATCTTTAGGCCTATATCATATCTTAATTATTAAAGTTTAAAGTCCAGAAAGACTTGGTGACTTTAGATCGTACCACTAGTAAGCTTCTTATTGTAATTAAATTAATAAGTACTTAGGCCTAATAGTAATACTAATACTGTCATAGTCTTAGTTCAAAACTAAGTTAAAATAATTAATAAGGCTTAGGGCCTAAATGTAGTACTTACTAAATCTAGTACAGTTAATTAAGTAGCTTACTTCTACTACTTACTACTTTTTTGTGAGATCTAATTGTAACTAACTAGGCCTACTACTTACTTATTTGGTAAACGGAAAAAAAGTCACAGGAAAAAAAACACAGAAAAAAAGTCACAGTTTTTGCTAGGAAAAAAAGTCACAGAAAAAAAGTCACAGTGGAAAAATTTTATCGGAAAAAAAGTCACAGAAATAAAGTCACAGAAAAAAAGTCACAAAAATATTTTTAGAAATATTTTTATTTTTTTTGTTTAGAATTGTAAAATTTTGTATGTTTATTGTTGTGGGTTGTATTTTTTATAGCATAAATTATTTATAGACGTTAAAAGCATTATGGTTTATAACAATTGTAAGTAAAAAATATTCTAATATAATTTACACAACAACCTCAACATTTGTTACGTATTTAGTTAAAAACGCGGTAGAAAATTTAATTATAAAAGAAATTTAGGCAAATTTTGCCGTAGGCTATTCTCTGGTCGGCCTCTCCTCAGTAGGCATTGTCCGAACATATTTTGTGTTGTTGTCGTCATGCGTCAATGACAGCCTTTCAACCTTGTCGGCTTTCTGTTTTGATCCTAAGTTTTGTTATGTAATGAGTGTGATAAATGTGGGCAGTAAAGGTGGTTGAACTAAACATCTAAACATAACTATTGTTGCCATGAGTTGAGGGCAGCAAGTCAGATGAACTTACCATTTCACGGTAATTTAATGTTGGTATTAAAAAAAAAAACAGGATTAAAACCGTGGACTTTCGAGCATTCTATTAAACACTACTAATCTTAGGTTTAACATAATTACAATCTAATTATAATCTTCATACTAAATATTTTTAGATGAATTATAAAAATTACTATGCGTATACAGCCTACACACATTACATTTAATTAATCCTAAGTTAATTTGCACTCTCTGAATATTTAATACATAAAAGTATTAACAAATCCCATGCAAATATATATTTGTGACTTTTTTTCCTGTGACTTTTTTTCCTGTGACTTTTTTTCCTGTGACTTTTTTTCCTGTGACTTTTTTTCTGTGTTTTTTTTTCCTGTGACTTTTTTTCCTACAATCACTTATTTACTAGTAACTAGATAGATAAGTAATTAATTTAGAGACTTTAGATTAGACTTGATTAATTTAATTTAGAGTCTAGATATAATTCCAGATAACTTCTCACCATGGGAGAGAGTTTGGATTCAAAGCCTAAGCCTATAGAAATTGAAACAACTGCTGCTAACCTTGAAGAAAAGTATGTATGTAATTTAGATCTAAATCTAAATAGAATACCCTCATCCATTATTCTAAAGATATTTTATTATTAAAATAATAGGCCTACACACAGTGGTACCTCGATGTACACAATGGCCCCAACATCACATTTCTGAAAGACGAATTGTTAAATGAGCCAAAATTCACTTTGATAAATGAGCAATGTTTGAGGTCAGAGTATTCAATGGTTCCCAAACTTTTTCAAGTGGCGACCCCCCCCCCTTATAAAAAGTAAGTGACCCGCGACCCTCATAGAATTTGAAGGTTTTAAAGGCTCATGACTGAGAACAACTTTGAACATTACGCGTTGTTTTTCTCTATTCCATTTCCAGTGATGTTAGTGAAGCCAAATTCCAGATATTCTTTGAAATATTTATGTTTTGTTTTGCTAAGGTTTAGTCTACCAGTTGGCGATTCCCCAGAAAGAACTTCGATATCCCCCTGCGGTCGCTACCCAGAGTTTAAGAACCCATGTTATACAGTTTATGGAAAAGAAACACAAAAAAAAGTGGCTATTAATTTAGGTGCAATTAAATTTGGTAAAACTTTTGGTAAAAGTTCAGAGATAAAGTGTAGCATTAAAAGTATAACAATGTATGTGAATTAAAGTTTCAGAGAGAGCTTAGCATTAATAGTGAGTAAGTTAATGAAGTAAAGCTCCTCTGCTCTACGCTGTGCCTCCACCAGTATCTTCCATAAGCGCAACTCTGCTGATTCTTTCTTTGTATTTTCCTTTATTATGGTATTAAACAATATTTGTTTAGTATAAATACGCTTTTCTAATTTAAAAAAAAATAATAGGTAACAAAAACAACAGGGATGGCATTTTTGAGGTTGGAACTGATTTATGGGATTTCAGTTATTTTCATTTGAGAAAGTTGTTTTGATATAATATGTTTATGAGCAATTTGACATACGAGCAATGTTACTGAACAAATTAAAATTTTATCTCAAGGGACCGCTGTATTTTAATTTAATGATATAGGATTAATATATAATAGAATCAGTGGCGTAGCTACCGTGAAGCTAGCGTAAGCAAGGCATAGGGGCCCGAGGCACATAGAGACCCTTTACCCTCTTAAAAAAAATTAAAATCTTTTCATTGGAATTTTAAAATTTGTTATATATATATATATATATATATATATATATATATATATATATATATATATATATATATATATATATATATATATATATATATATATATATATATATATATACATCTATATATATACGTATATATATATGTATATTATGTATATATATATATATATATAAATATATATATATATATATATATATATATATATATATATATATATATATATATATATATATATATATATATATATATATATATATATATATATATATATATCTCTCTCTCTCTCTCTCTCTCTCTCTCTATATATATATATATATATATATATATATATATATATATATATATATATATACACATATATATATATGTATACACATATACATCTATATATATACACATATACATCTATATATATATATATACATATAAATATATATATATATATACATCTATATATTTGTAAATATATATATATATATATATATATATATATATATATATATATATATATATATATATATATATATATATATACATATATATATATATATATATACACATACATATACATCTATATATATACATATACATATACATATATATATACATATATATATATATACATATATATATATATATATATATATACATATATATATATATATATATATATATATATATATATATATATATATATATATATATATATATATATATATATATATATATATATATATATATATATATATATATATATATATATATATATTACTGTCGAAGCCCTAAGTGCGGCCAAAGAGCGGATTGGCCGGCTCTCTTGGCCAAAGCCCGAAGAACTTAGCACTAAGATCGTACTTCGTACATTGGCCGGCCAATGCGCACAATGGCCGGGATGTACTGGCCAAAGTCCGAAGCGCTTAAACTTGACAGCGTATTTTGTACATTGGCCGGCCAATGCGCGCACTGGCCAGAATGTCCCGGCCAATGTTCTATCTAGACTAAGTTGTGATCGCGTTTTTATTATTCTGGGTGCGGTTTCATTGTGAGTAACGTATTGTTTAACTCTTGTTTGCATATCATTCTATATTGACTAGGGGCCAAGGCTAAACTTGCTGCAATTGCACAACCGGGGACAAACTTTCAAATTTTGCAATTTGCCCCCCCCCCCTCAAACTTTCGATTTGCACCCCCTCTCAAACTTTTGATTTGCACCCCCCTACCTCAAGTTTTTCTCTATATATTTTGCTATTTTTTGCCTTGGTGTCACCCCCCTAAATGGTGTCACCCGGTGCGGTCCGCACCCCTGCCCCCCCCCCCCCCCCCTCGCTACGCCTCTGCAACCCAGTGCACAACAAAACGCTGCAAGTGTAAAAATAACAAGCTACTATGTAATTCTAAATGCCATAAAAGTTCAACTTGTTGTAACAAATGATAATATTGATTGATTGAGACTATAGTACACACAAATTTTGAATGTTTCTGTCATTTACTTTAATTAATAATCAATAAAAACTTAATTTAGTGATCCTTACGGCATAAAAAAAACCCAAAATCTGCTCATGATCTTCTAATTCGGACTTTGGCCGGTCGTCCCTAGCCAGATGATCTTCTAATTAATACTTTGGCCGGTCTACCATGGCCAGTCCGCGGACAGGCCGGACAAAGGCCGAAATCAAGCAAAGTTTCGAACTTTGACTGGTCTATGGTAGGCGATATTGGCCAATGCGCGCATTGGCCGGCCGACTTCGGGCTTTAATATATATATATATATATATATATATATATATATATATATATATATATATATATATATATATATATATATATATATATATATATATATATATATATATATATATATATATATATGTATATATATATATATATATATGTATATATATATATCGATGGTCTCGGTCGCAAACCGTCTAACTCAAAAAAATTCGATTTTCTTTTTTTTACATAAATCAAAAGCCAATATGATTCCCCATAATGCCTGAAAATATTAGAGAAATCTGTAGAATGATTATTGAGATATAATCATTTGAACAAACCGCCTATTATTTCTAGCGCTAAAAATCTCGGCGCAAAACGAATATCGCTATATTTGTCAGTACACTTTTGATCGGGAACGCAGTCGCACGCCGTATTATCACACAATTTTACAGCACAGCAGTCACAGTACTTATAGGTAAGGACATTTGATTAATTATGTTCAACTATTCTATTACATTTTATCATTTTAAAGAATTATAAACAAATAGTATTTGTTTAATATAGCCTATTTCCAGATTGTCAATAACCAAACTGATTTGTTTACAATTTTTTAGGCTAACACAATACTTTGAAACTAGATCTTCGTTCTAGAATCTAAATATAAATCAAAACAACATTATTCGAATTATATTTCCATTAGAATGTGCAATAAATTTAATTATTGTTAATTCACTACTAGCTATAGATTGAGGGTTTAGATACGTATTAAGAAATGTTTATATGGTAGGTTACAAAATGTTTGGCGTACATGTTCAACGACATGGTTAGTTGTCTTTGGTAAATACCTTTATGATTAATTTTAGAACAGACAAACCTATCACACCAGCCTGTCTCAACATACCAGCCTCTCTCAACAGACCAGCCTCTCTCAGCATACCAGCCTCTCACAACAGACCAGTCTTACCACATAGCAGACCAGCCTCTCTCGACAGACCAGCCTCTCTCAATAGACCAGCCTCTCTTAACAGATCAGCCTCTCTTAACAGACCAGCCTCTCTCAACATACCAGCCTCACTCGACAGACCAGCCTATCTTAAGAGATCAGCCTCTCTCAACAGACCAGCCTCTATCAACAGACCAGCCTCTCTCAACAGACCAGCCTCTCTCAACAGATCAGCCTCTCTCAACAAACCAGCCTCTCTCAACATACCAGTCTTACCACATAACAGACCAGCCTCTCTCAACAGACCAGCCTCTAAACATATCAGCCTCTCTCAACAGACCAGCCTCTCTCAACAGACCAGCCTCTCTCAACATACCAGCCTCTCTCAACAGACCAGCCTCTCTCAACAGACCAGCCTCTCTCAACACACCAGTCTTACCATATAACAGACCAGCCTCTCTCAACATACCAGCCTCTCTCGACCAGCCTCTCTCAACAGACCAGCCTCTCTCAACAGACCAGCCTCTCTCAACATACCAGTCTTACCACATAACAGACCAGCTTTCTCAACAGACCAGCCTCTCAACATATCAGCCTCTCTCAACAGACCAGCCTTTCTCAACATACCAGCCTCTCTCAACAGACCAGCCTCTCTCAACACACAAGTCTTACCACATAACAGACCAGCCTCTCTCAACAGATCAGCCTCTCTTAACAGACCAGCCTCTCTCGACAGATCAGCTTCTCTCAACAGACCAGCCTCTCTCAACAGATCAGACTCTCTCCACAGACCAGCCTCTATTGACATTCCAGCCTCTTTCAACAGATCAGCCTCTCTCAACAGACCAGCATCTCAACATATCAGTCTCTCTCAACAGACCAGCCTCTCAACATATCAGTCTCTCTCAACAGACCAGTCTTACCATACAAGACACCAGCATCTGTCAACTGATAAATCGTAAAGGCACCAGCATCTCTCAACAGATCAGCCTCTCTCAACAGACCAGCATCTCAACATATCAGTCTCTCTCAACAGACCAGCCTCTCAACATACCAGTCTCTCTCAACAGACCAGTCTTACCATACAAGACACCAGCATCTGTCAACTGACCAATCTTAAAGACACCAGCATCTCTCAACAGATCAGCCTTTCACAACAGACCAGTCGTAATATACAAAAGACCAAACTCTCTCTGAAATGATCAATCTTACCATACAGGACACCAGAATATATCAACAAACTTGTCTAACCCTTTACGACACCAGTAACTCTCAACAGACCATTCTTACCATACAAGAGACCAGCCGCTCTCAAAAGACCAGTCAGACCTATCAAGAATTCAAAGCGACAGATATTCGTGCACTGCAGTACAAGCCTGATGCTACTGTCTACTTCAAAGTGAATTAGCAGATAGCTTGCAATTGCTAAGCTAGGGTCGTAAGATTATGATCTCATCTGTAGCCCCTGTCAAGTTGTACAAGAGCAGAAAAAAAAGATAAAAGCTGTCATATTTGAGCACCTAAAAGCAAGTCATAAACACACCTTTTTATGATGATTTCCCTGATTTTAAAAATATGTTGCCATTTTGATGTTTCTTTATGTGACGTTTATTCAAAGAATACATTTTAAAAATAATGACATTTTTTGTGTTACATTTTTGTAAAATAAGTAAACATTAAGTCAGTATTAATGTGATTAGTGTGTTATGTCTCATTCATAATACATCTGACAATACGGTTTCTGTTTTTACTATTATCATTCTACAAACCCAGCACCCTTCAGATTAAGTAAAATAAACTGTGAGAATAGAAAGATGTAATAAATAAAGCATAACCTTTAACAGTTAACAAGTCTAGTGCTAAATACAGACATAATGAATACAGTCGAAAGCGATAAAGCCATACTAAAACATCTCTACTAAAAATTAAACTGACCCCATTATATAAAATCAACTCAAATAATTAAAATATGAGCTCAAAACTATAATCTAAATATTATGAAGTGTTAATTATAACTTAAAAACATAAACATAAGTAAATCACGTTCATTGGACAAAACGAACGAACTCTGCTAAGACCGAAATTCTCGGCTCAAAACAGCTAAGTCTGCGCGCGCACAGATAGACGGTTTGCACCGAGAATTTTAGACCAAGCAAACCGTCTATCTTTTTAAACCTGCTATAATTTTGTAAATATTAACAAAACTCATTTTAAAACGCTACAGTATAGTCGGTAGAGAGTTTCTTCGGAGATATCATTTTAAAAAATTTGTATTAGAGCGATCGAGAAGGAAATAATCAGTTTTTTGTCTCTCCTGTAAAATTTACATTTTCGGAGTTAGACGGTTTGCGACCGAGACCATCGATATATGTATATATATGTATATATGTATATATATATATGTATATATGTATATATGTATATATATATGTATATATGTATATATATATGTATATATGTATATATGTATATATGTATATATGTATGTATATTTATGTATGTATATTTATGTATGTATATATGTATGTATATATGTATGTATATATATATATATATAATATATATATATATATATATATATATATATATATATATATATATATATATATATATATATATATATATATAAGAAAAAGGTTATAAGTCCTTTCTAACTGTACAGGCAGTTTGATTCAGTGGGAGGGGGGGGGGGGGGTCCGTAATTTTAACACTACAGGTATTGCCGCTTTGTCATGCAAGACATTAAGAGAATTAGCCTACTATAAATGAACTAAAACCCTTGACTGGTAAGTTTAAATGCATCGCTAAAAACATCAACTGACTTGGAAATGCCTCCCCACCCCCATACACACACCTGCACCTCCCTGCTAACTGTCTGCCCTCCCTGAAATTCCATTCTACTAAACATCAGTGATAACAAGTGAACCACTTTTAAAAAAAATGACATTAACAACCATCGACAGTGTTTTCACAACAAGCAAAGTCCAACATTTATCAATGTTTTTTATTTAAATTTTTACATTAATGACATTTCATTTTTAAAAATCTAATTTATCTTTAATCAACGTGACAGTACTAACACCATCAGTTTTTTGTTTTCATCCAATCGCCAAGAAACTTCGGAAAGTCTTTGAGAATACTCCAGGCAATGTTTTTATTCTAGACATTTTTCTGAAAAGGTGCATGAAAGAAACTCAGACTTTTGGGAAGGTTTCTGCCATTACATTTTTATTTTATTTCGGAGGGCGATGTCGGCAGTAAGGCGCTGTGGTTTGCTGCCCAGAGTTTCTAGCCGCTGTCTTTGCACCTGAGGTCATTTGATTGGTGTCCGGCGCAGCGGGTCAGCATAATTACTTGATCCAGCGGTAAAACAGCACAGGCTCATTAGCCGGCGCCCCGGCGGTCGTGTACCCCGGTACTCGTTTTAATGAGCGCCATACACTAATGACAACATTTAGGCGTGACACAATGATAAAACAATGTAAAATTTACGTTCAATAAACTGCAAAATTCTAAGGGGTCATGAGGTGACACCATTAGTTAACGCACAGGGTGACACCTTTAGTTAACGCACAGGGTGACACCTTTAGTTAACGCACAGGGTGACACCTGAATTTATGACGCCACTAACCAAACACACTTTTTAAAAATGATTTTTTAAGATCTGTTTTTTTTATGGTTTTAATTTTGCAAAATTTTAATTAGTAATAATTTCTCTGATATCCATTTTAGCTGCCTCTGTATGTACTATACTTTGGATGGCCAAGTTACTGACCCATTGGGCATATATGGATGGCCAAGTTACTGACCCATTGGGCATATATGGATGGCCAAGTTACTGACCCATTGGGCATACATGGATGGCCAAGTTACTGACCCATTGGGCATATATGGATGGCCAAGTTACTGACCCATTGGGCATATATGGATGGCCAAGTTACTGACTCATTGGGCATATATGCAATTTGTTTCATTGCTGCGATGTAGGCCCACATACTAGGGTAACGAAACATTTTGTAAGGGTTTCATCGACGCGTTACCAATTGTGTATTTTTGTCGCGTGACTTTGTTTTCTAAAACTGAGATAGCTGAAATGTAAACAACGCCACTATTTTTTCGGATCTTTGTTGCTGGGGCGTAGGTTGGTCCACATTACCGCTCAGATGCGGTTTAAATGATCGAACGTAGAGGTCCACAGTGTCCCTACTGTGGAATACTCGTCATTTGTGTCATCCGTACGCCGGCGGCGTCAAAAGCCGGCTCTGATACAGTTTAACCGTTGAATCAAGTAGTGCCCCTGACTCTGCAGGACGTGCAATAATCGGATCCTTTGCACTCAGGTAGTCGCTGGGTAACTCGGGGCGCTCAATAGTCACTACTGCTGATCCGTATCCCTAGTGTATGGCGCCCATTTAAACGAATATAGGCGCCGTAGTGCCCGGGGCACATCGCTTTACACGACCGCCGGGGCGTCGGCTGATACGCCTGTGCAATTTGACAGCTGAATCAAGTAGTAACACTAACACGCTATGCAGGCCCCAAATCAAATGGACCCCAGGTGCAAAGATAGCCGTTGGGAAACTCTGGGTGGCAAACTGCACCACCTTACGACCGGGGCACCGCCCTCCGAAATAAAATAAACGTTTAATGGCAGAAACCTTCCCAAAAGTCAGAGTTTCTTTCAGGTACTTTTTCAAAACAATGTTTGGAGAAAAAACCTCTGCCTGGAGTATTCTCAACGACTTCCCAACGTTTCTTGGCGATTTGATGAAAACCAAAAACGGTTAGTGTTGATAGCGCCATCTTGATTAAAGATTAATTGTATCAACAAATGAGATGTCATTAAGGTAAAAATGAGAACATCATTGATAAATGTTGGACTTAGCTTGTTGTGAAAACACTGTCCATGGTTGTTATTTTTTAAAATTGCCTCAATTGTTATCATGGCATTTTAGTAGGATGAAATTTCGAGGAGGGCAGACAGTTGGGAGGGAGGTGCAGGTCTGCGGGAAGGGGTAGAGAATTTCCTCGTCATTTGAGGTTCATAGCGATGCATGTACATATACCGGTGACAGATGCTTATCTCACAAAAAAGTCAAAGTTCAAGATGATTTATAGGCTATTTTTTTCTATAGTGTTATTACTACGGATGGGCCCTGCCCGACGCAACACCGCCCCCCCCCCCCCCAACCACACTCACTGAATGCCACTGCCTGTACAGTAAGAAACGACTGGGGGTCCTTTTATTTCTACAGTAGAAAAGAAACTGGATTTCCATTTTCTTTTTAAACTTATTTATAATTATATGAAACAAATATTAAAATCCCAATCTAAAAGTTTTAATTTTTTTAAAGAAGGAAAAGGGCCCCTATAAGCCTTGTGCCCCTATGCCTTGCTTACGCTAGCTTTACGGTGGCTACGCCACTGGGTGTTTTGTTACTTACAAAAACAACAAATTAACTGTAAACCTGTAACATTTTTTTTACAAAACTACGGGGTAGTAGCAGTAGTAGACTAACATAATAATATAGTATAAATACATAATCAGGACGTATACATTCACGTACAGAATGGATATTATTTAAAACTACCCATCGTAAGTAGCAAGTTATCTCTTCGTATAATAACTTCATAGTTGCCTAATGGCTGATGAAGGGGCCCTCTGATAATTTTTGCATAAGGGCCCGATAGTAAAGTTTACATTAGTTTAATATAGATTCTGCTGTTCTTACATGTTTTCAACTTAAACTAATAAGGCACTTTATTAAAAAAAAAAACGAACTATCCAGATCATCTCATTCTGACAATTTGGACTACTTAATTAATGTAGTCTATGCACCGTTTATTAAAAAACATGTTAAAGTCAAGAATTTGCTGTCGTACATGCCTGAGTATATGAAGGTGATTGGACCACAGATCTATAACTCAAGCAGTGCTGAGATGAGTACAGAAATATTTTTTAATCATCTCAAGGCTGTGAATGATGTTGGCAAATATCAGGTAATGCCTTCTTTTCTTCATGTAAATGTTAAATATCTAAATAATTTTTTTCAACGTATTGGTTGATTTATGATCGAAGTTTTTTTTATGTGACATGGTATGCTGTCTAAAATATATGTTCCATGCGTTCCCTAAATTCCAAACATAACATGGTCATCTCTTTAGACAGTGTCTTGTTCAATTACCTCTAATTTTATAGCCTGTAAGTGTACTGTAGTAGACATTTTTTTTTAAAATCTAGCAACACACCAGTGCACCACATTCACAAGAGCACACCATATTACAAGTAATACAAGAGTGCACTCATTACATCGGTGCTATATATTTCATCAATGCACCTCATTACTGCAATGCATCAGTAAACCACATCAGTACACCTACACTACAAGTAGTGCACCACATTACTGCACAACACAATGTCAGTGCATCTCATGACCACATCAGTACATAATAAAGCCAAATTGTTGCATCTAAGCGTTTGGTTTAGACAAATGAAGGTTTAACAGCTACAATTATCAACCTAAATCAATCACTATTAAACTTTAGTATGGGACCTAACATACGGTTGAAAGGAGAAAGCCCACCAATATTCCATCGTCATCGATTTATTAACCATCATTCTTTTACTTCAATGAACAAGATGAGACGTCTTCTACATTAACTGGCAGAAATGGCAGGGACACTTCACACACCTAGATGATCAGACCAAGACTCCTTACGACCTCAAGACATAGACTACAATGACAAGGCGAAAACTCCTGAACCCTGCATAAGACCAACAGACTAAATTTGACCTGTGTACATTTCAGTCGACCTGATATGCATTCACCGCATCATCAAATGCTACACAAACTTCTCTCATTTTAATCTTTTACTATTACACCCAAAAACACAGGATGACTTTTACTTTCTAAAAAGCATTAGTGCACTGCGCCATATAATCAGTGCTCCACTTCACTGTATTATCACATCACATTTCAACAGTACACCATTCACCACTCCATATCAGCACTTTACACTGGATCGGTGCACCTCACCAGACACTTTACAGCACCTTATTACATTAGTGCACCACATCAATGCTCCACACCACATCAGTGCCCCACTTGACATTAAATTAATGCACTAAGTACAGTTTTGTTAGTGCAAATCCAATAGATTATTTACATATGTTTTGTTCTGTGTAGGCTTTCAAAGATGCCTTACACAGTGCTAATTATGAGGTCATTGTTAAAGTCCTTGAGGGTGAAAAAATTGAAGATGATTCTGAGCATAAAGAGGTAATGTTTATTATAATATTAACAAATTTGGCATACTAAAAAGCATTATCTACCTGTGTTCACATTTCGCCTAAATTGGAGAAAAGATCACATGTATTTATTTATTTCAGTTTACAAAAGCAGCATTTTAAATATAACACTACGGGGGATGGCAACTCGGGATATAGACATGATTTTTAACCAATGTTTAAGTACTAATTAAACTTTCTAAAATAGAATAGAATCTCGTAGAAAAAAAATTGCCCACAAAGTGAATGGTAATCAATATGTGTATAATAGTGCGGAATATTACTAGTATTTTATAAATACATTTTCGTTTTATTGAGAAACGGGAAATAGCGTAAATTAATACTTAAGGTCAACTCAAATTAATCAAAATTTGAAAGAATGCAGAAAATGAGATCTTTTACTTATATGTGTTATTTCGTTTATCTGAAACAATACTCAAGTTATAGGCTTTTGAAAAACTAAAAGTAGAATAAGTCCCACTTCCGGTTATCGGAATTCGCAGAAAAATTGATACAGAACTACAAATTTGATATAATACTTATATATGAAATTTCACCAACCTAGGCGTAACGGTACTCAAGTTATCGTGTTCACAGACATACGGACAGAATTGCAAAACCCAGTTTTTCCGACTCGAATGCGCATAAAACGCCGAAATATTGATAAATATGGATTTATAATTTTAGCCCGATTAAAATAAGTCCCTTAACTTCGTAGGTGATGAAGTACTGTGGTGTAAACCGGTGAAAACGGTCAAAATTTCATGTAATATTGTGCACGATTACAATACTTTTCTATACGCTGTATACGAGAAAGTAAAAGAATCCAGCTTCTAGGATTAATTTTAGAATAAGAAAGTGACCTTCTGAACCCTCTTCCACATCATCACAAAATTTCAAATCCTCCCACCCCCTTCCTCCCCAAGGAGTGTGACGAGTTTATGACTCGTTGGAACGTTTGCCCAGCGTTTCTCATACCAAGCGGCATGCGTTTATACCTGTAGAACCCATTTGGAGTTACAAATGCAGAAATTTCTTTGGCACGATCTGACAAAGGAATTTGCCAGTAACCTAACAATAAGTCGATTTTGGAAATAACCCTTGATTGACCGATTTTATCAATTACATCCTCTATTCTAGGCAATGGGTAAGAGTCATATTTGGTTAGTGCATTGACTTTTCTGAAGTCAGTCACAAATCTGAAAGAGCTATCACGTTTTCGTGACAGTCCTTGCTATGTTTGCAGTAACGAGAGACATCGTTTCGCATTTTCGGCCAAAAAAACTTCTTTGATTTTTGCCATAGTTTTCTTGACCCCAGGATGCGCTGACATCTGGTGTCATGGGCCAATTTCAGAATCTCTAGCCGGTATGGTGGAGGTATCCACAGTTGGTTTTTCATCAACAGTGGTTCGGCAGGCGAGGCAGTTGAAGGAAAGAAGCGTCGGAAGACCAGGTCATTTGCGGTGAAATACTCCCCATCGTCGGCCGAGAGTGATTTCCCGACCACCGATTGGAGTTCTGCGTCTTCATTCTGTGCTTTTACTATGTCATCATGAGATATTCTCAGAGGCAATTCCATGAATGTACCCTCTAGAGGCACCTGTTCCGGTATGGGAACTGGATTTCTCGATGACGATGATTTAAGTGGATCAGGACTTGCATCAGCTAACTGCTTGGTTTGACTCCGTGTTACTACACAAGCCGGATACAGTTCATTTTCTTCGTCAGCTGTTCTGGACTTTCTGGGGGTACCAGCTTACCGAATTTGGCAATAACCTGAGCAACTGATAGCTGTGTAGGTTCCACTTCACACTTCACACTATCACTAACCCTACCGAACTCATATTCCAACCTCTTCAACTGTGTCTCTTTATCTAAGGCAATCTTAGCTTCTAACTCTTTTTCTTGTAAAGCAATTTTAGCCTCTAACTCTCTACCAATAGGTTTGACTTCACGTGACATGACATCTGTTAAAAGATTCTCATCAAACAAACCTTCATTGATGAAGTGAACAATAATCTTATCTTTTAAAACTCGTGACTTTTGTGTAACAGAATACTCTAATTTCAACTACCTAACAACACCAAACAAATCTTTCCTACTTAAACTTTCAACCTCCTCAACTGTAGGTTTCGATAGAAACGACTCCATCTAATCAACTACACAGTATCAATAATCAAAACCAAAAAGAGCTCTCTAAAATCAACACACAACAAGGAGACTGCTACACTCGCCCTACACAGGACACGAGCTGACCTCCTGACCTAGATAACACGACTCTAGCTTTAGGCGGTTTGCAATGGCCTCAAGACGGGGAGATAAATTACCTCTAGATTTACAACTAGTGTCACAACCTGTACAACAAATTAAATCCCGGACGGGCCCCCACTTATTACGAGCGCTACTCTAACAGATGACAACAACTAAAGAGTATCAGACACAAAAACTCAACGTGGACTCGTAAATAAGTTCTAGGGGAAAGACACGAAAAACTCTGTGACTAATAACAACTTTAATCCATAAATAACCTTTTAAAATGAGTACAAGTATACAATGTGATTCTAGTTTTATACAAAAAGAGTATAAATATACAAAATAAACCAAAACCTAACTTACGAGTTAATGAAAAATCACTAGGTTACAAATATCACAGATATGGCACTAGGAAATCAACACAGCTTATAGAAAATTAACTTAAAGCACTGAATGATACTAAAATCACAAATGATAAGGGAAAAAACTGCTTTAAACTATAGAATACAATAAGGCATCACGCACGGTACTCTCTCCCGGGATGTCTGGTAAAAAAACTTCCTCGAGAGACCGTGGTTCGGGTATATATATCTGACCTCAGAATCAGGGGAGGTCACTCTCAAAGTCATAAGACCATTGGTTGGGAAATCGCCGAATTTCGAAATAACCAATTAAAATTATTGGAAAATTTCATCACATAACGTGATGGAAATGTACTGGCGATTGCACCACAGCTCATCCAAGATCGATTACATAAATGAAAAACTAAATTACATAAAAAAATAAGACCTAAGTAGGTCACAATACTTAGTCTTTTATACATTTTGTTTTGTTTAGTATCCCACAAAAAGCTATTTAGTTCAGCATAGTTTACAGTTATTTTTAAAGAAATACTTAAAATGGACTAAAAGGAAATCTGTTGCGCGACTGCTGTTGAGAAGTCATCCCGGTGATAGTTTTCAATCGATAACAGATATATTATGTAATATGAATAATTATAAAAAAGGCAGAATTAGAGGGCTTAAAATGTACTTTTTTAAATAGTACTTAGCTCAGTACTATACGAACCATTTTTATTATAGAAAATGTGAAAGTGAAAGCTACTACTTTTGGGCGACGCGGTCGAAAGCCACATTATTCCCGGCCTTTGACTTACCTACTTAAATGGCATTTGATTGTTCTATAAGTTGTCTAGATTAGAAATTATATTTTAAAAGTTGTGAGTGAAAAGATGTAATTATTCTTCTTCTTTCAGTTGATGCAACTTTTTGAAAGCACCATCATTGATAGCATTGATCCTAGTGCCCTTGCACAACGACTGCTGGAGCGTGATGTCATCGACCCTTCAGAAAGGGAATACATAGAGAACTTACAAACAAAACAGTGCGCAGCAGATGCAGCTTTCTATTTGTTAGACTGTGTTCCCAGGCGAAAAGATGGCTGGTTTAAAATATTTCTAGAAGTTCTAGATCAATTAGAACACAAGGATCTTGTCAAGATTTTGGATGAAAAGTTTTATCAACAGAGCGGCGATTTTCAGCCGGGAGAACTAAGTTTACAAGTGGACACTGAAATGACCAATGAGATGGCCAGCGATACGACCCATGAAACGTGCAATGAAATTACACAGCAGACGAGTGAGATGACCGTTGAAAGGTCCAGATATGAAGCAACAGTTGGTGGAGGATCCGGGTCTGATGAGATTTGCAGCATTAGCATTTTCATGCAACAAGTGTTACGCAGTTTAAACAGTTTACAAGAGCAAGTTAACAGGATTGAAACCAATCTCTGTGATCTACATGTTAAACTTGATAGTTTGAACAAAATTGATCCTTAAATTTTACGGAGATTCTAAACACGTCTTTTTATATGGTTAAAAAAATAAAGAAATTATTCCACCAAATGATTCAGATTTCAGCTCCTTTCGTGTAGTGCACCCAGTGAAACACTCCCCTCGACCCCCTTTTCACCGAGTTATCATTCCTCTACAATGTCCATTTAGTTTCTTGATCTCCCCTCTCACTTTACCATACAAGGTTCACTACCATCATCTTTACATAACAAGAGAATTACTTTTCCCTCATCGCGCAACAAATAATTGCTATTAGAAAATATATTTAAAAAAAACATGCTGAACCTTTGAACCTTTTTGTAAGGATAAGCTTTGTTCAACAAAAAACTTTTGTTTAAATAAGAAACACAAAGTTTTATGTTTACATTGAATTACATACCATACCATACCTTATCTGTAAAACACCATCAGAGATGCAACTGCACATTACAGGCTAAAATAAGCTCATATATGAGATGCAGTTCTGTTCTTTGCTATGGTGCGAAAATTTTAAAATTTTCATGACATAAAAGAAAGGTATAAAACAAAATGATAAAAATGAAGATGGTACTATTGCTTCTCAAAGTTGGAGGATCCTGATGAAAATGATGGAAATATTAATTTTATATTTTTTTTTACGATAGTGTACATGTGTTACTTGTTACAAAACAATACCTAATACAAAGATAAGTTACTCGATGGCACCCACGAGTTTTTTATTGTCACCAGCCACCAATACTTTACACGCACGCACTTACACACACACATATATATATATATATATATATACACAAATATATATATATATATATGACACCCCCCAGGAGATGATCCTGGCTACGCCACTGTAAAATGGTACACCACGACGACTGCTAATGCTTTGTTACTTTGTTCAACCTAACTGGTAATTTAAAACTGTAATATACTATTATCAAAATTGTTCTAAAGACAAGACCAAAAGTAGACCAAATAAGCTTGCATCTTTTATAAACTACACTCTAATAAAGCAGTGGTTTTTAACCTTTTTGATGGTACCGAACTCTACCAGTTTCATATGCGGCTTCACCGAACCCTTCCTAATAGTTGTATCGTCCACACTGACAAAATCTGATCGTGAATCCTATGAGTCGGGAGTGCGCCATGACCTCAGCCAAAGCACTGGGACAGACTTTCCGTACCTCTTGGGTTCGATCGAACACGTATTAGCTATAGATCCTGATTGAATTTTTTTGACAATGCATTTGAATTCCAAATTGGCTTAGAATGTTAAAACGCGTTTTTTTTCTGCTGATACTAATCAGAACGTCATGGGCTGTGACACTGTTAATAAACTGGTTATTACGATTGTAGGAAAAAAAAGTCACAGGAAAAAAAAAACACAGGAAAAAAAAACACAGAAAAAAAGTCACAGGAAAAAAGTCACAAATATATATTTGCATGATACTTGTTTTATGTATATTAAATATTTAGAGAGTGCAAATTAACTTAGGATTAATTAAATGTAATGTGTGTAGGCTGTATACGCATAGTGATTTTTATAATTCATCTAAAATATTTAGTATGAAGATTATAATTAGCAGTGGCGTAGCGAGGTCGGGTGTTACCCGGTGCGGCACTTAATGGTGTCACCCCCCCCCCCCCCAGAGGCATAGAGACCCTTCCCAGGGACAAACTTTCAAATTTTCGATTTGCACCCCCCCTCAAACTTTCGATTTGCACCCCCCCCCTCGAGTTTTTTTTCGATTTGCACCCCCCCTTCAAACTTTCGATTTGCACCCCCCCTCAAGTTTTTCTCTATATATTTTGCTATTTTTTGCCTTGGTGTCACCCCCCTAAATGGTGTCACCCGGTGCGGTCCGCACCCCCCCCCTCGCTACGCCCCTGATAATTAGATTGTAATTATGTTAAACCTAAGATTAGTAGCGTTTGATAGAATGCTCTAAAGTCCACGGTTTTAATCCTGTTTTTTTTTTTTAAATACCAACATTAAATTACCGTGAAATGGTAAGTTCATCTGACTTGCTGCCCTCAACTCATGGCAACAATAGTTATGTTTAGATGTTTAGTTCAACCACCTTTACTGCCCACATTTATCACGCTCATTACATAACAAAACTTAGGATCAAAACAGAAAGCCGACAAGGTTGAAAGGCTGTCATTGACGCATGACGACAACAACACAAAATATGTTCGGACAATGCCTACTGAGGAGAGGCCGACCAGAGAATAGCCTACGGCAAAATTTGCCTAAATTTCTTTTATAATTAAATTTTCTACCGCGTTTTTAACTAAATACGTAACAAATGTTGAGATTGTTGTGTAAATTATATTAGAATATTTTTACTTACAATTGTTATAAACCATAATGCCTTTAACGTCTATAAATAATTTATGCTATAAAAAATACAACCCACAACAATAAACATACAAAATTTTACAATTCTTAACAAATTAATAAAAATATTTCTAAAAAGATTTTTGTGACTTTTTTTTCTGTGACTTTATTTGACCCCCCCTCCCGGACATATCAAGTGCCCCCCCCCCCCCCCCGGATAAAATAATCTGGAAGAAACACTGAGCGAAAATCTGCGAAATCCAAGACTTCGAGCTGTTTTATACGTTGAATTCCAGTTTGCTTCCTCTAGCTTGTTTCGTTATGCAATCAACCAATGAACGAAAATCCAATGCGTACAATAAATGTTTCTGATAAGGGGGTCATCCATAAATGATGTCACGCTTTTTTGACGATTTTTACCTCTCCCCTCCGTCACACATCGTCACAAAAAGCCAGAACCCCCCCCTCTAAAATGGTCACACCTCAGCCTACAACCCCCCCCCTCAAAATTGCAGTTGAATTTTTCTTAAAACATCGATATTTTTCTAAAATATTGTCTGAACCCTGTCAAAATAGAGTATTTTAATCAATTCCTATTGCAATATATTAAAACAGCTTTCTAAAGCGTGAAATAACGTCTAAAAATCTTTTTCTAACACTGCTTTTTTTATAACTGACCCCCCCCCCCACTCCCCCTCATCACACACCGTCACAAAATTACGGACCCCTCCCCCCCCCCCAACGAGTGTGTAGTCATTTATGGACGACCCCTAAGTTGATCTCGTATGTCACTTGTATGACCTTATTCTACGCCTCTGAACTGGGGTCAAGTATACATAAACAAAACCTATCCCGGGCTTAACTAGCCCAAGGGACACAACTAACCAGTAATTCAATGCTGTGAATTATTTCCTCCCCCAATTGAAGCTCATAAGAATTGACTAGATAAATTTATAACACATTAATTAAAAAAAAAATGACTAACAAAAGTATAGCACAGTTGGTCTACCAAGTGGTCCAAAACTATCACAGTTGTGACCCATTGAATGTCTAAATTGACATGGACAGGAAAAGTTAGCCCATGACAAAAAAAAAATGCACACAATTAATGTAATGTAAAAAAATTTACTACTTACCAGAATCAAAGAAACATATAACAGATATAACACAAAAATACTTTCTTTTCAATGCTTCGGATGATATCGTCTCACACTGAGAACTTTTCTCATCCCCAACAGGACTGCTGAGACATGAACAGCTAAAACGTCGGCGGCATAATTTTGGACTACTTAATAAAAAAAAAAAACCAACAGGTTTCTACAGGAAACGAAATGGTACATTAATTTTTTAACAAAATAATAATAATCAACATCATCAGGCACACACCTGCCACTCACATATTATATAGTTTACTTTTAATGCTCCAATATATCAAACTTGAGGGAAGTAAAATATATGGAATCATGGTTTGAAAACTGCATCCCCCCCATAGCAGTTATCAATCTGACAAGTTTGTAAGGAAAATAAAATGTGTTGCATCAGCCCCTGCTTAACTTTAGGGGGCAAAGTCTTTATTGGACTACATTGTCCAATAATCTAATTTTGATTTCCACCAATTTAAAAAAAAAAAAAAAATTTATACATCATCTACCTATTCTGAATAATATATGAGGTTGATTTCAGTTTGTCATTTGTAAATGAATCTCAAAATTACATACTATCAAATTCACCCTATAAGTAAACATGTTTGGCAAAGGTTAATTTACTACTTGTAACTATGTTGTAAAGAGCATAGCGCCGTGGTAATTTCTGAAGTGTAGGCCTACCTAGAAATTAAAATTAGACAAAAAATGTCATAACTTTTCTTTTGACTGGATATAGGCCTACTTGAGCTTTTTATGTTATATGTTGCTTAAACTTAAATTATTTTTCATTTGAAAAAATTATTCATGTTTTACAAATAAATTGTTGTCATGTCTAACCTTTTTGGGAATATTTACTAACATTCAATATGCAAATTTATCAACTATTTTTATTGTTTAACATGACAATTTATTTTTATACAATTAAATTGCCATTTTCATTTTAAGTCATGCATTTTAAAATCATTATTTTAAAAAAATATCATTTAATAGAGCTCTTGTGCCAGTGTTCCTACTTGAGTATAAAAATGGTGCAGTGGCGTAGATCGTCTCATGGAGCCCTCTGTAAAAAAAATTATTGTCATAATACCACTGTAACTTATTTAACTCTATTTCTGAAACACTAGATATGTAGGCCTATAATTTTATATGTATGTTTAGAACAGTCATCTCAAAACTGACGCTATGTTCACTCTGAGTTGGTTATTCCCCCTCCCCCACCTCACCACCTGAACGGGACATGCCGAAATTGATGTCACACCTAGGTATACGCTGGGTAAGATAATTGATCTAAAGTGGCCGGACAGTGGGGAATGAAGTTGGGCCCCCAACCCACCCTGTACACACACGCATATACACACTCGAGGTCCAAGCTTTAAAAAGTTTGTTTTATTATTAGGAAAACCCACACACCCTTTTTTGAAGTTGTCTTTAAGGGGGTAATTTGCTGGGTAACTGGCCACATTTGCTTCAATAGTATTTGCACCCAATGCTACATTTTCGATTGGTGTTGAATGTTTCTTCAGCCACATCAAATAAACATTTTTT